AGTTTAAGCTGGATATTTATATTGAATTTAGAGTGATCCGATTGGCTAGTTAGTGATTAGTGATAGGGGTCAGCTGTAGTCAATACTATCACATGCTTCTCTCGAAATTACTTTAAGAAACTTCACATTGCGGATGCACACATTGCAATATCGATGCTCTTATGATATATTGTGCAGCCCTAATATCTAGCGAACAGGAAAATATTTAAATATATACGACATGTAAACAATGTGAACCTATGAAGATGTGTTTGCACCAAGCGACGTAACAGTCCATTAATGAGGAAGCAGTGTGTCTCAAAGCTTGCATACTATTCTGTTCCACTCTCAATAGTATGTACTTTTCTACTTTGTGGACGTAGAAGTATGAGAATTGGGATGATGCAATTGACTTTCAAAGAAGAACAAAAACAAACTGGTTGGTGGTTTTCAACATCTTTCAAAATATCCTCTTTTGTGTTCAACAGATGAAAGAAACAGGGTTTAACAAGCAAACGGCAACAGAGATTTCAGATTTGGGTGAACTATCCCTTTAAAAGAGAGCTGTTGTCTCTTTGGCCATCTTCTGCAAAACAAAAACTTCGAAAAACTTCCTCATTTGAGCTCTTATAGAGGTTTTATGACACGGTCGAAACCCGAGAGCCATCATGTACAGAGCTAAACGCATCTGTACATGAGCCCTCAGTGGGCATTCATCTCATTTTAGTTCCCACTCAGCTGACAAAAATGAAAGGCGGTCAAGGTCACATGAACAAAAGGCACTCTCTGGGGATGATATATGGTTACATTCATAACATGTGACAGCTTTCAGGAGATTGTCAGTGATAATTATGCAAAACACTCACCCAGAAATATAACTCAGGCTTTCATATTAGGACAGAAGACATGCTGTCATTAATTCAGAAGTACATTTTAGACTCAAAACACGTCTAGAGAGTAGCAGTAGAAACTTTATGACAATATAACACAGCTCTTCCTCATTATACTTGTTATAAAATTATATTATTATAAATATTTTGTAATCACAGTAATACGAGGATTCACATAAGTGACGTCATCACGCACTGACGCCACGGTTATTTTAATACAAATAGTTTGTTTTTGTTTTCATCGATTTTTCTGTTGGTGACGTGCACGCGGGGAGTGATGGGCGAGGGAGCGCGCGCGCTGACTCTCATTCACTCGCCATCCGACTGCAAAACAACAACTTTACCTCTCTCAATCTCCGACACCAGCAAATCCACGAACCCCGCCGGCCCTGGCTGTCCCACGATCACCAGCAGGGAGTATTTCTCGCTGCAGAAACCGGGTCGAGCTCCTCGATTCGAGTTTTCCATGCTTGCCAACTCGCCGATGTGCTCCGCCGCCATGTTGCGAAGTTTATCCAAATTCCTGATGTCCGACTCGCTGAAGAATCGTTCGTTTGAGTCGACTCTCTTGATTCACTTTTACAAAGTGATTCTGAGAGATGTGGGACAAAGTGTGGGACAATTTTCTTATTACTTTTTGAAGTGTATTGTAAGTGATAATTGATTGATTTATGGATTGCAACCCTGGATTATTGGAAATGGACAAGCATTATGGTTTGAATAGGAAAGTACCACATTCACAAAACAAAATGTACCAAACTTTAAACTCTTTTTCATTGGTCTAAATATGTTTTACAGAGAAATCCTAGGCTCTTTAGGCAAAAACCTTTTAATAATCTAACCTAAAAATAAAATAAAAAATAAAATAAAACTTTAAAAAATTATTGTTTAAATAGTTATTTAAAATAATTAATATGCTGTGAATGTAGGCTATTTCATTTTTGTTGTTAGTTCTCTATTGTGTACTGTGATACTGTTTTATGTATATCTCTGTAACTACCCACAAAGCAATGTTTATGCATAGACATCTAACATAGATGGCTTAAACAAGGCTGGCTGTCGGGGAAAATCTAATAGACATAAGAATAGACCAAAACTAGACTAGTCATCAAATACAAATTAGACTGAATTCACATATGCTGTTTTGTAATTTATGACTATCTTGGGCTTTTCGATGTTCGCTGACAACACAAATTTATCCTGGTTTTAACGAAACCTGTTTACGTCTAGGTTATTAGACATCTTTTAAAACAAAAAAAGCTCGCTGGGTATGTATAAAATATATGTAAATAAATAAAATAAAAGCTCTGACATTTGACACTTTTCTTTTTTTGCAATGAGTTGCAACGAGACCCAGAAAATCTGTTAAAAGAGTCTGGTACACCCACATGTATACTAAATAAAACACACCATATCTTTATTGAAAGCTCATGATTTTTTTATTTTATTTACATATATGGGATTGAGTTAATATTGTGCAAAACAAAGACACAAGAAATGCTCCACGTTGACTTCTGGTAACATTTTAATCTCTAGAGAACCGGTTTAGTGAAATGAACCGTTCGAGCGAACCGACTCCCTCAACTGAACCGGACAGCTCAACTGTCTAGCAGAGGCGATGCGCTCAGGGACACACCCACAATTTTTATCCGAGGGGGCGGAGATTTTTTGTGTGATGTCACCGGTGGATCAATTGATGATGATTAAACGTCAATACAGTTATCTGTGTGAGTGTGAATTTGTTCAGAAGTTTTGGTTTGACTTGTATCATCATCTAAACACCCACCATACCTTTGCACAATCTTTTCGTTTAAAAGAAATTATTTGATATTACTCTGGAGTTATTTACCTTTAACTTTTTTTTATTATTAGTATTTGTTTGAAAAGGTTTGTATGCATAAACAAAAATACACAGCTTTAATCCCTAATTTTTGATTTTTTTTTTTTGAGTTTGACTCACGGCTTAATTTTTTCCCTGTGTAAAAAAGTGTGTCAGATTTTTGATACTGCATAAAGAGCTGTTATCTATTGACTCTAACTAGGTTTAGATAGCTGTCCTGTGATGCTTTTAATCTATTTATTATGTTCACACACTTCTATATTGTGATTTTCTTACCGCATCCTTTGTTTGTTTCCTTTTTCTCTCTGTAAGAATGCAGTTATTACATACTGTAGGTCAGGGGTGGCCAACCCTGTTCCTGGAGAGCCACCTTCCTGCAGATTTCAATTGCAACCCATATCAAGCACACCTGCCTGTAATTATCACGTGGTGTTCAGGTCCTATTTAATTGGTTCAGGTGTGTTTGATATGGGTTGCAACTGAAATCTGCAGGAAGGTGGCTCTCCAGGAACAGGGTTGGCCACCCCCGCTGTAGGTATTTTCATATCTCCTGGCTGTGTTTGTATATTTTCAATCATGAACGATAATTTAAAAACCACCCACCAAACATGTGGAAAGCACCATATACACAAACAGAAATGGGCTAAAGGAAAACCCAACCTATTGTTATTGAAGATGGATATGAAATATCATATTGAGCTGTTACTTCTGTGATGCTATCTGTGTGCTATCTGTGATTGTCTAGTACATTTTTTTCTTTCTCTCTTTCATTTTTATTATTTTCTTTGTATTCATATTTTATTGTATGTTCTCATTTTTACATATTGTACTCTACACTCACCGGCCACTTTATTAGGTACACCTCTCCAACCAGTCGTTAACACAAATTTCTAATCAGCCAATCACACGGCAGCAACTCAATGCATTTAGGCATGTAGACATGGTCAAGACGATCTGCTGCAGTTCACACCGAGCATCAGAATGGGAAGAATGGGGATTTAAATGACTTTGAACGTGGCATGGATGTTGATACCAAACAGGCTGGTCTGTTGTATGTCAGAAACTGCTGATCTACTTGGATTTTCACGCACAACCATCTAAAGTTTACAGAGAATGGTCTGAAATGCCTTGCTGATGCCAGAGGTCAGAGGAGAATGGCCAGACTGGTTTGAGCTAATAGAAAGGCAACAGTATATCAAATAACCACGTTACAACCGAGCTCTGCAGAAGAGCATCTCTGAACACACAACACGTCCAACCTTGAGGCGGATGGGCTACAGCAGCAGAAGAGCACACCGGGTGCCGCTCCTGTCAGCTAAGAACAGGAAACTGAGGCGACAATTCACACAGACTCACCAAAACTGGACAATAAAAGATTGGAGAAACGTTGCTGCTCTGATGAGTCTCCATTTCTGCTGACACATTCGGATGCTCGGCTCAGGCTCGGCTCAGTTCAGGCTGGTGGTGGTGGTTTAATGGTGTGGGGGAGATTTTCTTGGCACACTTTGGGCCCAATAGTACTAACTGAGCATGGTGTCATTGGCACAGCCTGAGTATTGTTGCTGGCCATGCCCATTCCTTTATGACCACGGTGTACTTCCAGCAGGATAACGCACCAAGTTATAAAGCGTGAATCATCTCAGACTGGTTTCTTGAACATGACAGTGAGTTCACTGTACTCAAATGGCCTCCACAGTCACCAGTTCTCAATCCAATAGAGCACCTTTGGGATGTGGTGGAACGGGAGATTGGCATTATGGATGTGCAGCCGACAAATCTGCAGCAACTATGTGATGCTGTCATGTCAATATGGAGTAAAATCTCTGAGGAATATTTCCAGTGGCTTGTTGAATCTCTGCCATGAAGGATTAAGGCAGTTCTGAAGGAAAAGGGGTCCAACCTGGTACTAGTAAAGTGTACCTAATAAAGTGGCCAATGAGTGTATGTTTCAGTTAAATATTTTTGCTTTTAATCACCTTTCAGTAGTTTGCCGCAATATTTAAAAATAATAATAACAATGTTAAAAACATTTTAAAGTATTATTTCCTGCAGAATTAAAAGTGAGAGGTGACCTACAAAGTCCATGTTCAGTTAATATGAAGTATTTATATAGTAAAATGTAATTATACAACTATATATGAATTAATTTATTACTGTATAGTAGGCTTGCGTGATGTTTAACTTCTATATTTGCTGTTAATAAATGATTTCAGGAAAAAATAATTCTTTGAATGCGCACCGCGCCACCTTGTGGCCATGAAAAGAGAAAGCAAACAGCACAGGAATCAGACTTTGAATAAAAATATACAAAACTGCATGCATTTATTTGATTTGAATGCATTTATACATTCGTCTGTATGTACTGATAAACATGTTACAGATTTGATGATGGTAAACAACACACTGGAGCATTATGAGAGACTGAGGCTGTTTTTTCCCTCTCACAAGCACTTGAGGATGGAGAAGCTGCAGGCGGTTCCTCCTGGACAACTGCACAACTTCCCGAAGCGGGAGCCTTTCCGCACCGCACACTGCTCGCCTGCATCACACTGGACACACACACACACACACCAAATAAACACACCAAATGGGGTAAATAAACCTATTTTTGCTTTGAACTCACTTTATTTTGACCTATTATTTCAAAAAACAAGACAATATGTTTTGCTTGTCGAGAAAATGCCTCTTGATTTATGAATTTTTTGATACTTGGACTAGTGGGAAACTCTGGCAGGCGTTGAGGCATGTCTTTATTCTTCTGTCATTAATTTAAACAAAATGTTTACAAAACCGTTACTGTGATGTTTACTTTTAAAAACAATGAAGAAAATACATAAAACTCTGTTTTAGACATGCAATGTGGTATCTTGTTGTAAACTCTGTTATTGTTAAATCTGTTACTGTCAACTTTGTTATCGTCGACTCTGTTATTGTAAATGTGTTACTGTTGACTGTTATCGTCAACTCTGTTACTGTCGACTCTGTTACTGTCGACTCTGTTTCTGTCATCTCTGTTATTGTTGACTCTGTTACTGTCGACTCTGTTACTGTCATCTCTGTTATTGTTGACTCTGTTACTGTCGACTCTGTTACTGTCATCTCTGTTATTGTTGACTCTGTTACTGTCGACTCTGTTACTGTCATCTCTGTTATTGTTGACTCTGTTACTGTCGACTCTGTTACTGTCAACTCTGTTATTGTTGACTCTGTTACTGTCGACTCTCTTACTGTCATCTCTGTTATTGTTGACTCTGTTACTGTCGACTCTGTTACTGTCAACTCTGTTACTGTCGACTCTGTTACTGTCAACTCTAATACTTTTGACTCTTATTGTCGACTCTGTCATTGTTGACTGTGTTAATATCAGCTCTGTCGACTCTCTGTTGACCCTGTTATCGTCAACCTTATTATCATCACCTCTGTTACTGTAAACTCTGTTACTGTAAATGTTGTAATTGTCAACTCAGTTATCGTTGACTGTTATCATCAACTCTGTTATTGTCAACTCTGTTATTGCCGACTTTTACTTTCCACTCTGTTACTGTCAACTCTGATATCGTCGACTCTGTTATTGTAAATTTGTTACTGTTGACTCTGTTATTGTAAATTTGTTACTGTTGACTCTGTTATTGTCGGCTCTGTTATCGTTGACTCTATTGTCAACTCTGTTACTGTCGACTCTGTTATCATCAACTCTGTTATTGTCAACTCTGTTATTGTCAATGCTGTTATTGTTAACTCTGTTATTGTCAATGCTGTTATTGTCAACGCTGTTATTGTTAACTATGTTACTGTTAACTCTGTTACTGTCAACTCTGTTACTGTCATCTCTGAAATTGTTAACTCTGTTACTGTCATCTCTGTTACTGTCAACTCTGCTATTGTCAACGCTGTTATTGTTAACTATGTTACTGTTAACTCTGTTACTGTCAACTCTGTTATTGTCAACGCTGTTATTGTCAACTCTGTTATTGTCAACTCTGTTATTGTCAATGCTGTTATTGTCAACTCTGTTATTGTTAACTCTGTTATTGTTAACTCTGTTATTGTCAACTCTGTTATTGTTAACTCTGTTACTGTCATCTCTGAAATTGTTAACTCTGTTACTGTCAACTCTGTTACTGTCATCTCTGTTACTGTCAACTCTGCTATTGTCAACGCTGTTATTGTTAACTCTGTTACTGTTAACTCTGTTACTGTCAACTCTGTTATTGTCAACTCTGTTATTGTCAATGCTGTTATTGTCAACTCTGTTATTGTCAACTCTGTTATTGTCAATGCTGTTATTGTCAACGCTGTTATTGTCAACTCTGTTATTGTCAACGCTGTTATTGTTAACTCTGTTATTGTCAACTCTGTTACTGTCAACTCTGTTATTGTCAATGCTGTTATTGTCAACGCTGTTATTGTTAACTATGTTACTGTTAACTCTGTTACTGTCAACTCTGTTATTGTCAATGCTGTTATTGTCAACGCTGTTATTGTCAACTCTGTTATTGTCAACGCTGTTATTGTTAACTATATTATTGTTAACTCTGTTATTGTCAACACTGTTATTGTTAACTCTGTTATTGTCAACTCTGTTATTGTCAATGCTGTTATTGTTAACTCTGTTATTGTCAACTCTGTTATTGTTAACTATGTTATTGTCAACTCTGTTACTGTCAACTCTGTTATTGTCAATGCTGTTATTGTTAACGCTGTTATTGTTAACTCTGTTACTGTCAACTCTGTTATTGTCAATGCTGTTATTGTTAACTCTGTTATTGTCAACTTTGTTATTGTTAACTCTGTTATTGTCAACTTTGTTATTGTTAAATCTGTTATTGTCAACTTTGTTATTGTTAACTCTGTTATTGTCAACTCTGTTACTGTCAACTCTGTTATTGTCAATGCTGTTATTGTCAACGCTGTTATTGTTAACGATGTTACTGTTAACTCTGTTACTGTCAACTCTGTTATCGTCGACAATGTTTTGACAACTTTGTTACTGGTGATTCTGTTATAGTCAACTTTGTTATTGTTAACTCTGTTATCGTTGACTGTATAATTGTCAACTTTGCTACTGTCGATTCTGTTATCGTCAACTCTGTTATCGTCAACTCTGTTATTGTCAACTTGTTTATTGTTTTTGTCTTTTGTAGTTTGTATTTTTTGCCGTATTTAATATGAATTTATATTATTTCATACTGCTCAGCATAAATAAGTACAAAAAAATAAAATAAAAATAAATAAATGTATATATATATATATATATATATATATATATATATATATATTCTGCAGTAAATATTTTTTTTAATTTAAAGTGATCCAGACATAAAAAGAGGGAGCTCTCGTCTTTAACTTCACTGCATATTCACATATATAGCTAAACACATATTTAGACTTTAAAATGCACATATGTGTAAAACTGTAACCACTGATATAAACTCTATAGACTCACCGATGGAACCCAGCCGAGCTTCTTCTCCACAGCAGGAATCTGTTTATTTCTCAGCTTTTCCAGAACTTCTTGAAGAGCTTCAATCTACAAATAAAGCACAGTTTTCCTCATCTGGCTGCTCAATAATGATCATCTGAGAGCGAGAGATCTTACCAGCTCTTTCTCCTCCTGAGCCTTATCCTCCTCAGGCGAGCGGATCTGCAGAACTTCATCACAGCAAACCAGCAGCATTAAAACAGAGCAGGTGACGGTCAGGAGAAAGATCCGCTCTCCGACCATCGTGTCTAGGAAGCAGGACTCTCCTCGAAATAACAGCAGAGCACTGTCCCAGGATTTTATATACCTTCCCACAACCCCGTTCCAGATCAGATGTTGACGGTGACCCCGCAGGACCTCTAAAGCCAATGCAAACGTGAGGAGTCCAGCGAAGAACGTCATCATGGTGATTGATACGCCTGACCTGTGAACTTCAAACATCAGAGCATTCATGTACACCTAACCTCATCTTTCACCGCAATTGAAAACCCGATTCATTTCCGGAGGCCATAATTTCATTACCGGAAAACATCTACGAAAGAGCCGTTTTAAGTATCTGAGGCCTGCTGCAATATCTATTTTAGTTCCTATGCGTCATATCCCAGCTAGCAAAATTCATGTGGCTCAAATCCGGCCCACATACCGCATGGAATAATGATGCTTGGGCGGTCTGCTCCTGTTTGCCAGATCTGGGCCACAATTAAGCCATAGCAATAGCACATATCAGCCAGAATTCAGCCAAATGAACCAGAACTGACCCTATTCTGAGCCACAGTTTGCTTTTATTCTGGCCCACATCCGACCCACACCAGACACTTACATCTGGCCCACATACTGAATGGAAGGATGGCTGTAGGACGGTCTGCACCTGTTTGTCAGATCTGGGCCACAAATATGACAAAGCAATGCTACATATTAGCCAGAATTCAACCAAATTAATCAGAACTGACCCTATTCTGGGCCACAGCTTGCTTTTATTCTGGCCCACATCCGACCCACACCAGACACTTACATCTGGACCACATGCTGAATGAAGGGATGGCTCTAGGGCGGTCCGATCCTGTTTGTCAGATCTGGGCCACAAATTAGCCAAGGCAATACCACGTATTAGCCAGAATTCAACCAAATGAACCAGAACTGACCCTATTCTGGGCCACAGTTTGCTTTTATTCTGGCCCACATCCGACCCACACCAGACACTTACATCTGGACCACATACTGAATGGAAGGATGGCTGTAGGGCGGTCCGCACCTGTTTGTCAGATCTGGGCCACAAATAAGCCAAAGCAAAACCATGTATTAGTCAAAATTCAGCCAAATGAACCAGAACTAACCTATTCTGGGCCACAGCTTGCTTTTATTCTGGCCCAGATCCGGCCCACACCAGACACTTACATCTGGACCACATACTAAATGGAATGATGGCTGTAGGGCGGTCCGCACCTGTTTGTCAGATCTGGGTCACAAATAAGCCAAAGCAATACCACGTATTAGCCAGAATTCAACTAAATGAACCAGAACTGACCCTATTCTGGGCCACAGTTTGCTTTAATTCTGGCCCAGATCCGGCCCACATCAGGCACATACATCTGGGCCACAAACTGAATGGAATGATGGCTCTAGGGCTGTCCAATCCTGTTTGTCAGATCTGGGCCACAAATTAGCCAAAACAATACTACATATTAGCCAGAATTCAACCAAGTGAATTAGAACTGACCCTATTCTGGGCCATAGCTTGCTTTTATTCTGGCCCACATCTGACCCACACCAGACACTTACATCTGGACCACATACTTAATGAAGGGATGGCTCTAGGGCGGTCTGATCCTGTTTGTCAGATCTGGGCCACAAATAAGCCAAACCAATACCACGTATTAGCCAGAATTCAACCAAATGAACCAGAACTGACCCTATTCTGGGCCACAGTTTACTTTTATTCTGGCCCAGATTTGGCCTATTACTTTCTAATAATGGATGAAACATTGGTAACGATCAGTGAACTGTATTATTTCATAACAGGTTGTGCCTCGCTTCATTTTGTTTGCTGTAATGAACAAACTTTTCAAGCAAAGTTCTTAAAAGTTACAGCAGCCCAAAATTAAATGTATATTAAGAGGTTCAGGGCTAAGAGCACAACTAAAGCAAACACTTTTCTCCAAGATGGTGACTTTAGTCTATGTGGTCCACGTATGTTTTAAGATAACTGGGCCACATTTGCCATATCTCCTCTGGGCCGCTTTAAGCTCACAGCCACTTTAGCCAGAGCTAACTTTGCCAAATATTTCCCAAAATTGGCCCACATTTGTTTAAGCATAACTGGGCCACCTTTGCCATATCTTCTCTGGGCCACTATAGGCTCATTTCCACACCAGCCAGAGCTTACTGTGCCGAATATTCGCCAAAAGTGGCCCACGTGTGTTTTAAGATAACTGGGCCACATTTGCACCTACACATGTGAGCCACTTCAGGTTTAGACCCAGATTACTCTTGATTGACCATGCCACATTTTTGCCAACTGTGGCCCACATTTGTCCTCTCTCATTTTGTCTCACTCCTCTGACCTCTAAAGGTGCTTTAGCAACAGAAGCTAGACGCCATAGTCTTTAGCCTCCTTGTTAGAGCAACCGACTTCCATGCAGAAAGTCGCCAGTTCAACCACAGCTCGGAGCGGGTTGGGTGGTGTAGGACCAGTGGGGTTATATTGGTGCCATGATGTGACTAAGGTTTAGGGGGGTGAGTGTAACAGAGGCCATCTAGTGCTGTGCAGGTAAACCTCACTCCTCTGAACCCAAAGAGGTGCTCTAGTGACATACACTAGAGACCACGGTCTTTAGCCTCCTTGTTAGAGCAGCCGACTCCCATGGGGAGAGTCACCGGTTTGATCCCAGCACAGAGTTGGTTGGGTGATGTAGGACCGGCGGGGTTACACACATTCCCCAGCTCAGCCAGACTCAGCTTCAAGTTGTGCATCTGTGTATGCAGAGAGTTCAAAGTTACTCAAAGCTCAAAGTTACAGAAGAGCTCAAAGTTACAAAAAAGTTGTGCGCTCCGCCAGCCAAAATGATGCTGTGCATACGCGAAGCGAAACACCGCCAATAACACGATGACATCATATTCGCAAGCAATCCTGTGGACACATTGAGTATAAACCAGCCTTAAAAGTGCCAAGTTTTACACACTTCAATAAGAAATGTATGTAGATCTCCGTTTTACATTTTATAGACTTACACAAATATTCCAGTGACCCATGCATATTTGTAAATTTGTCACTTTTATTGTGAAATATGAGACAATGTACTGTGAATTACTGGCGAATCCACCAATGAAACTAATGACACTTTATTCACAACTCCACAAAACACATTAATAGACTTCTCTCTCTCCCCCTGTTTTAGATCAGCTCCTCATTTAAACGCCGAGCTCATCTGATCAGATCCAGGTCGCTGAGAGCGGTGTCTGCGCTCGGCTCTGAGGGCTCAGTGGCGTTTGGTGGAGCGATGATCGGCTTGAACTCTTTCCAGGGTTTGGTTGGGCAGTTCAGCGGGACGTGTTTTGGGGGGCTGATGCTCTCCTTGGATTCCTCTGAGGACTCTTTGGCTTGTGGGAGCATCCTTAGAGGAGACCAGCCTGGGGGTCGTTTGAACCTGCTGTTGGTCTGAAAGAAAGACGTTTAGCATTAAATGAAACACTTGATGCTGGGATTTATATAATAGTGCCCCAAGTGCCCCATTACAATATTTTAATTAGGTTCATGTCTATTTAAGAACAAAAAAAACTATTATTTTCCATAAAATAACAACATCAGCTCAACCTCACATGTCTGAAATGGTTGGTTCACATCCAATTTAAACTCCGCCTTTCTGTGAGTTAACTCCAGTTTGATTGGTCAGATTGCCCAGTTTTGATTTGTTTTTTTGATTGGTCAGATAGTCCAACACTGCTTTGATTGGTCATAGCCCCATTTGTTGTGATTAGTCAGATGGCCCAGTCTGTTCTGATTGGTCAGATGGTTCAACTCTGCTCTGATTGGTCAGATGGCCCACTCTACTTTGATTGGTAAAATAGTTCAACACTATTCTGACTGGTCACATGGTCCAAGTTTGCCTTAATTAGTCAGACAGACCCATTTGATGTGATTGGTCAACTCTTCCAACTCTGCTCTTATTGGTCAATTGATTTAGTTTGTTGTGATTTGTCATAAGGTCCAACTCTGTTCTGATTGGTCAGATGGCTCAGTCTGTTCGTTCAAATGGTCCAGCACTATTCTCATTGGTCCCATGGCCCAAGTTTACTCTGATTGGTAAGATATCCCCAGTTTGTTGTGATTGGATCAAACGCTTGAACTCTGTTCTAATTGGTCAGATGGCCCAGTTTGTTGTTATTATTGGTCAGATAATTCAACTCTGATCTGATTGGTCAGATGATGTCTAACTATGCTCTGATTGGTCAGATGGCTCAGGCTATTTTGACTGGTTACATGGTTCAAATTTGCTCTAATTTGTCAGATAGACCCATTTGATGTGATTGGTTAAATCTTCCAACACTGATCTGGTTGGTAGATGGTCCAACTCTCCGATTGGTTAGATAGTGAAACTCTTTAATGATTGGTCAGATGGCTCAGTCTGTTCGTTCAAATGGTCCAATACTATTCTTATTGGTCTCATGGCCCAAGTTTACTCTTATTGTTCAGATATCCCCAGTTTGTTGTGATTGGTCAAATGCTCCAACTCTGTTCTGATTGGTCAGATGGTGTCCAACTATGCTCTGATTGGTCAGATGGCTCAGTTTGTTTTGATTAGCCAGATTAGTCCTACTCTGCTCTGATTGGTCAGATGTTGTCCAACTATGCTCTGATTGGTCAGATGGCTCAGTCTCCATGGTCACATGGTTCAAGTTTGCTCTAATTTGTCAGTTAGACCCATTTTATGTGATTGGTTAAATCTTCCAACTCTGATCTGATTGGTAGATGGTCTAACTCTGCTCTGATTGGTTAGATAGAGAAACTCTGTTCTGATTGGTCAGTTGATCCTAATTGTTGTGATTGGCTAGGTCATCCAGCTTTGCTCTGATTGGTAAGATTGTTAAATTTTGTTCTGATTGGTTAGTTTATCAAACTCTACTCTGATTGGGCAAATGGTCCAAAATTGTTTTGATTTGTCAGATCGTACAACTCTGCCCTCATAGGTCAGATGAACCAGATTGTTTTGATTTGCCAGATTAGTCCTACTCTGCTCTGATTGGTCAGATGGCGTCCAACTATGCTCTGATTGGTCAGATGGCTCAGTTTATTTTGACTGGTCACATGGTCCAAAAGTGCTCTAATTTATCAGACCCATTTAGTGTGATTGGTTAAATCTTCCAACTCTGATCTGATTGGTTAGATAGTGAAACTCTGTTCTGATTGGTCAGGTGATCCTAGTTGTTGGGATTGGTCAGGTCATCCTGCTTTGCTCTGATTGGTAAGAGGGTTACATTTTCTGATTGGTTGGTTTGTCAAACTCTACTCTGATTGGTTAAATGATCCAACATTGTTCTGAGTTGTTCGATGGTCCAACTTTGCCCTCATTGGTCAGATGAACCAGTTTTGACTTGCCAGATTATCCCTGCTCTGCTCTGCTCTGCTCTGATTGGTCAGACAGCATCTTCTCAACATGTTGAAAACAAAC